TAATTGTAATAGACCTTGATTAAAGAGAATGCACAATTTAATTTCCTGTATCGATACGAGCCATAAACATACATGTTTGTCAATTACAATTTTCGACATAAAATCAAAATAATAAAGACAAAATTATCAATATGCATAAATAAAATTGAAGTGTCTGTTTGTAATATTGAAATAACTGTCTCCTATTTAGTTTAGATGGTTGTTTGCACGTTATTAAAACGTCTTCCACGTGGTAGAGCCATGCTGCAGCTATATTATGGTTGTAGCACGAATGGGTCGGCTCGACCGGGGAAGGACCACGCTCTCACAGAAAACCACCGTAAAATAGCAGCTTAACGCTGCTGTGTTTCGTATGGTGAGTGTAGAGAACCGGAGACCCTTTTTACTGGCAAAGAGGCATTCCATCTTAGTCCTCACGGGTGACAACGCATCTGCATCTTGAGTCTTTATTGAGGACTAGCTGTGCCCGCGGCGTAGCTCGCGTATATAGATTTTACATAAAGAATTTGTCGTTTAGGTAAGAGAATATTAAACGATTTATTTTATTACTGTATCAATAAGTGGTAACAAATAAATCATTATAATCAAAGTTCTAAGTAGTTTATGATAGAGCTTCGGTGTAAACGACGTTAGAAGTAGGCTTAGCCGGGGTGTACACAAAAAAGGTTACGGGGGCTACTAACGCGGGAAAAAGCAACATAGAGTTGGCCATGTGCAAAACAGTCAGTACTGAGGTCCACTCTTACAACGCGTAAGTTTTGACCTTGCGCTATATTTACGGTCATCGCATAACACACGCTGACTGTAACTGGGGACTGAACGCGCTTAAAACTGAAAGGAAAGTTACTTCTTAATAGAGGGTTTTTTGGCAGTGCTGCCAGATCAAAAAAACTCATTCAGCGCTAGGACAACACAAAAAGCGCTAGATTTCATGAAAACAACGCTTTAAAAAAGCCCTAGATTTCGCGCTAAATTAACTACAAACAAAGTTTGTGTTTTTTATTATAATTTATAATTCAAGAAAATATAATCATAATAAAGAAAACAACATTAAGTTTTTTTCTGGCAATATTTTTTGATGTATCAATACTTCGCAGGACATCGACTTATAATTATGGCAATTGCTGTCAACAGTAGTTAGTACTACTCTAAGTAACTTTTAACTTAGCTGTGCTCTAAACAACTGACTAAAACTGAATAAAACAAAATAAATGCGTTGCCAAAACCATGAACGAAAACTTTAATGAAGGGGATTTCCCCGCTTATAGTCGTCGATAAAAAAAATCAAGTTGATCTTCCTAAAGGGGAAGCCGGGAGATCCATAGCACAGGGTATCCTAGTTTGGACTCGTTTCCCATGGTCTTTGTTTTGTGGAAAAAATATGTTTGAAAAAGATAAACTGCAATGTACTATTTGTGGAAAAAAATAATAAAGGTCATTATTATTATTATCGGTAATGTGGACTAACAGTGCTGCTATAAAAGAGTTGATAACCCGCTAGTCGCTACAATTTTGAAATGTGTGCTAAATACACCAAAAAGCGCTGGATTAAGTACTAGGTGCTAAAATTTCGAAATGCACGCTATACATTCCAAAAAAGCGCTAAATCTAGTTCCCAAAGCGCTAAAATGGCAGTACTGATTTTGCGTATATTATAAATACAATATCACGACATTTCGTTGCAATTTTGTTATTTTTGTTCGGGTTCCGTTGTATGGCTTCGATAGATACAAATTTCTTCAGTAAGTCTCAATACGATTCATCGGAGAAAAATCTCAACACAGTAAATCAGAAAAGTTTGTAATTTGTACAACTCCATCTATTACGTCCTTTGTGTGAGAAAACATCATTTTTTAAATCTCTTTTTATGTTTTAAGTATAAATATATTAATTATTATGGAACGTTTTTTTTACACACAAATCTTTTTATTACTATTTCTGAGATTTTTATGGCGCCATTGAACAAATTCGAACCTACATTTTAAAATAATAATCATTACTTTCGATAGAATTAACCAATTTTAATAAAACAAAGATTAAATGTAACTTTAAGATACGCTTTATGATTTTCTTAACGATTTCTTTGAAAAAAAAAAGATGTTTACTTTAGACGTGATGCCTTCATATAAAAACAGACAAACAGACAGACAGATAATTCTAAAAATTATAAAAATGTACTTATTTAATTATTTTTAGTTCCCCATAATGATTTTAGTCACCAAAATATATATACAATGTACAGAAAGAGACACAACATGTTATCATCATTTTTATTATATGTATATATTTAATTAAAGAGAGATGGCGCTGCTAACATCAACTTGATGACTCAAACATAGCCACCGTTGAGCAAATTCCCTACCCATACTTCAGAATATTTATCATAACTTTTGATGGCATGAACCGATTTTAATGAAATAAAGACTAAATGTAACCCGAAGGTACACTTTAGAATTTCCTTAACAATTCTTATGATATAAATTAGTACTTTAAACGTGATACGTTAACAAACAAACAGACAGACAGACAGAAAGACAGACAGACAGAAAATTCTAAAAATGGTAGAAATGTATTTAATTACTTATTTTTAGTACCCCTCAATCACTTTTATTACAAAATTATAAAATGTACAGACATCTGCTATTTACAGTTTTATTATATGTATAGATAAATATAGTCTGTGGGTCACAGTAACCACTTACCATCAGGTGGGCTGTGTGCTCGTTTGTCACCCGATCCTATAAAAAAAACGTAAATAACCATTTTAAATAACGTAAATAAAACTTTTGTCTGTCTGGCAAGGCGAAATGGCTGAACCGATGGTAATGAAACTACGGCAATGCCATAAGTGATCTTGGCTATATATTATTCGACAAACTTAAAGATGATTTTTTTGGGTAAACTAAAAATTGATAAAATAAATCGTCTTCAGTTATCTTATAACTAAATAACGCCACGTTAATTGATCTTATCCAGGCGAAACCTAGACGGGTCGCTAGTAATTAAATAATAATTAAATACGTGCTCGGCGGTGAAGGAAAACATCGTGAGAAAACCTGCATGTCTGCGGAATAAGAAAAAAATATTTCGAAGACATGTTAAGTTCGCCAAAACATTTCCTTGCCCTAAAACTCTCTCAGCAATGAGAGGAGGCCTGTGCCCAGCAGTGGGACGTAGGTATATAGGCTGTAACTTTAAAATACATTAGCGGCTGTCAAATATTTATAGCCATATATCTTTTACTTATAGGTTATGGGTGACAAGCGAACACAGTCCACCTGATGGTAAATGGATGCTGTGGCCCATAGAGACCTACATCTAACCTTGATTAAGAATCGTAATATAGGTGCGTCATCGCCGAGGACAAAGATGCTTAGTTACCAGTAATAAGGTACTCCTATTCTCTACACTTACCACACGAAACACAGAAGAATATTTTAAGTTGGTATTCTCTAAGAGCGTGGTCTATTCCCGATCGAGCCGACACATTCGTGCTGCAACCATACTGCCGTCCCAATGAAGAAAGCAGTATAAAATAAATTTGAATTTGAGTATTTTAGGTGGAGTTTCACATACCTTCCGAATCCTTGTAACGAATTCTATGGAAAAATGAGATATCTCCTAAGGATAAAAAAGAAACGATAAGCTAAAAGGCAGAGTTCATGTGAAACAAGGCGGCATTATTTGCTCTAAATGATGCCAAACTTGATTAGCACGACAGCGTAATACAAGTATACTCGTAGCTGCATCGTGACTAACACGTAAGAGCCGATTTCTCAATAGCCAGATAAAAGTTTATTAAATATTAATATATATATATATATATATATATATATATATATATATATATATATATATATATATATATATTAAATATAATTATATAATTATTAATTATATTAATTTAATATAATTTATTTGAATTATAAAAATTTAAAATCTGAACTTATTGAATATAAAGGTGGACACGATTGAACAATTTATTGATACTTACTTACAACTGTAATTTTCTACCGACTTCAAAATGGAGACGGTACTCAATTCGACTGTATGTTTTTTTATGTGCGTTACCTCATAACTTTTTACTGGGTGAACCGATTTCCATGATTCTTTTTTTTTTAGAAAACTGGTGCTTCTTATGGCCTCCTATATAAATTTGATGAAGGTCTGACCAATAGTTTTTGAGTTATTCTTAATAATTTATATTGAAGTCGGTTGAACAAAATTTTAAATTTTAAATTATTAATTTGTTTATGTTGTATTTTATTCTATACCGTATAGTGGCAGTGTAAGAATATCCACTACACCATGTCGTCCCGTGGATGTCGTAAGAGGCAACAGGGGGAAACAAATCAGGAGATGGGCAGCAGCGTCTTCCTAATAACGATTTAAAAAAAAAACTGTAGTTGCTAACCCGCTTGTCGAGCGTGGCCACTATAGCAAATACCCCCCTACGAGGCGATCTATGGGGGAGGCCTATATAGGGGGTATATTTGCCATAGTTGCCACTCTTGGCGAGCGGGTTGGCAACCGCAGTTCTTTGTTTTAAAAATGCTGCGGCCAATCTCCTGCTTCAATTTCCCCAGTCGCCACTTGCGACACCCACGGGAAGATATGGGGTAGTGGATATTCTTACACCGCCACTACACGGCAGTAGAATATAGGTAGTAGAACTTAAAACATAGGTCTATCTTTTGCATATTTGCCATAGTTGTCACGCTTGGCAAGTGGGTTGGCAACCTCAGTTTTTTATTTTTAGTCGTTATTATGAAGACGCTGCAGTCCATCTCCTAATTTGATTCCCTCTGTTCCCTCTTACGACACCCACGGGATGATATGGAGTAGAGTAGATATTCTTCCACCGCCACTACACGGACAATAAAATTAACAACGAACAAGAAAACTATTTCATTAATTATGTTTCAAATTATAACTTTAATTCACTCCCCCATATTATTCACAATTATGTAAAGCCAAACAGTTTTTGAACATCTTTGAAATTAGGTTTCCCAATCTTCGTCTTCTGTTAAGCGGACGACTTTCTTTGACTCTTCCCAGAGCTGCTGTGTCACTTCGGTGTCGTAAGCCAACCAGTGGTTTATCCACTCGTGACAGAACTTGTAATGCCTTCCACTGATGTTAGCCATTTTAGGATCGGCAGCTAGTACAGCGATTTGTTTCCCCACGTCTTCCTTCGGCTGCCCCACTAAATCCACGAATAGCTGTGATATATCCTTGAGAAGACCCTCCATATTGTTTAAAATGTCAGTATCCTTAACTATATAAGGATCATAGGTGTTTGCTGTAACGTCCGTGCCTTCCAAACGTCGACTCAATTCCGCATTGAACAAATCCATGGCCAGCTTTGCGTTGGCCATGGCTTGCACCGGTGAATACCTCCCGATATCATTCCAGTGATCGTAATCCAACTGTCCAATATACATCGCCACTGCCACACCATTTATTATTCTGCTCGGCGCTGAGGCTTTTAACAACGGTAGCAATAGAAACGTTAGAAGGAACGTACCGAAATAATTCACTTGCATGGCGAGGTTCAATCCGTCCTCTGATAAGCGATCGGGTAGTCCAAGCGCTCCCGCATTGTTCACTAGAACGTCGAGTCGTTCACCTGAGTTGAGGGTATCGTGGGCGAAACTTCGAACAGATTTCAATGATCCAAGATCAAGCACTCTGTAAGCAACGTTGACGTTTCCAGTTACGTATTGAATTCGGTTTCTTGCTCGAATCAATTTAGTTTCATTTCGACTGGCGATCACAACTTTTGCTCCGCGACGGGCTAAGTTCTTCGCGGCTTCGAATCCAATTCCAGAACTTCCACCAGTTACTATGGCTACTTTGCCGTCAAGTCTGCCTTGGGTATTACACATTTCCGAAAAAAGACACTGGGATTGATATTAAAACCACGAAGTCAACATCTGTACAGCCTTCAAGGCGGAAACACATTGTATAAAGGTCTGTAATATTTATTTCTGGTTATTTTTATCTTGAAATAAAAGGTCCTGTCCGTACTTTTTTTAACTCGACTTATTGTCGCTTGTAATCTCGCAACTTGTTGTGAATGGATAATATTTAAAAATAAAACATTCGAATTCGAAATTTGGTTATTTATTACTATTCTAAGTCAGCGCTTGATAACTATTCTACCTACCCGGCCAGCATGGGTGGGGGACAAAAATTTTATCCCCCGATTATATCCACTGACAAGAGATAAAATTATCTTGTTATGTCAAACGGGGAGAAGTATATCCCCGTTTGACATTACGAGTAGACATATATCCCCCGACCGTAGCATGGAGCCAAATGAAAGATAAAAAATTATGCTTTTTTGACATTTAAAAGGGACAATTTTATCCTAGTTCATTGGACGTGAGTTGAAGTTTATATTCATACAAAAAAATCTATCTAAGTCTATCTCCCAATTTATCTACTGTGGATATTATATCCACCGGTGTGCCCATGCTCTAAGGGTGGATAAAACTAAGTAAACTAATAATAAACATTTTCTCCTTTCCCCGGGGATAAAATTGTCTCCTGCCCATGCTAGCGCTCCTAATTGTAAGTGGTGATGCAGTTGATGGTGAAGCGCAATTGTAATCGGATGGAAAGACAGATGCTTGCAATTTTCTTTGCTGTATGCTTGACGAACGATGAAGCAAACATAATTAATAGAATCAGGCGTTACTTTGCGGAAATCCATTATATAAAAGCTTTTAAAAAGTTACTTCGCAAACATCCGCTCTATAAAATAAAATGATGTGTCTTACCTAGTATGAAGGGCACCTCCCGCCCTCCCCCAATTGCGTGCACTACCCCCGTCACCACTAATTCCAGCACCACTACTCCGAGGTTAAGTGGATACTTAACGATCAGTCACCGTAGAGTCTACATCACCTGAGGATGCCTCGTGTAGAGGCGAAACACGTATTGTCGTCTGTGGTGTGTCTTTCCTAGTGTATTGTGGTGTGTAGTGTGGTGTTGGGAGTAGTGGTGCTGGGATAAATGGTGACGGGGATAGTGCACGCAATTGAGGGAGGGCGGGAGGTGCTCTTCATACTAGGTAAGACACATCATTTTATTTTATAGAGCGCGGATGTTTGCGAAGTAACTTTTTAAAAGCTTTTAGATGAAGCAAACTGTTGGGTTTAAATGTATGGTAAATAGACAACGAAAGGGTGGAGACTGTCCGAGCGTCTGGTTGTCCGATGGTGGAAGCGAGAGGGAGGAATTGTATAATTCCTGCACACACTCTTCGAAATGTATCCTGTAGAAAACCAAAAGGCTGGGTACTATGCGCCTGTGTTCACGAATGGATTTGATTTTGTTTTCTTTGCCATTTCATTTTACATAACTCTTTTGATTAACTACACAACTATATCTCATTAAAGTTTTTACAGATACGCCAAAGCTGTTATTGAAGCTGTTGAAAAAAACGATATTGATGAAACAATGGTGTGAAAGATTAAAGGTAATTGCGGAAAATTAATTAGAATAGATGATTTATCATCCCATCCCACCTGGGAAACTTCTGTGAAAGGTGTCTCATGAAATTTATTAACCAGAACAACCGCTTTCAATATAAATAAAATGAGAACATCATCAATTTAGTCGAAGTCAATTACGTACGCATTATTAAGGATAACTCAAAAGCTACTGGTCAGATCTTGATCAAATTTATATCGGACCACATGAGAAGCACCAGCTTTCATAATCATCAAAATCGGTTCATCTAGAAAAAAATCTGAAGTAACACACATAAAAAAACAAAATACAGTTTAATTGAGAACTTCCTGCTTTTTTCTAAGTCGGTTAAAAGTTATCTCTGCACTGTACTGTTGGGGGTTGAATAATCCCTACGTCACACTCTATTTGCCGTATACCTAAGACACAAATTAAATCCACATTCAAATAGTATGTGATAGAGACTGCAGCTATATTATGGTTGTAGGATGAATGGGTTGACTCAACAAGGGTAAGAACACACACACAGAATATCAGAAAAAAATAGCAGCATAATGATAATTTCGTATGGTGTGTGTAAAGAACCAGGGATCATCGAACCAGTGAATAATCCCTGTGTCTCCCAGGGATTATTCTATTGTGCTCATTTTTGTCTCGTCATCTCGAGGGTAATAGGTGAAAATCAGTGTTTGCTCTCTGAGCAATATTAATCGCTGAGCTAGGACCAACACACATTTTTTTTATAGGATAAGGGTGACAAACGAGCACACAGTCCACCTGATGGTAAGTGGTTGCTGCGACCCATAGACATCTACATCTATCCTCTATTACAAATCAAACTGCAGATGCGTTGTCGGCCGTGAGGACTAAGATGGAATGCCTAATTTCCTGTAAAAAGGGTCTCCGGTTCTCTACACTCACCATACGAAACACAGCAGCGTTAAGCTGCTATTTTACGCTGGTATTCTGTGAGAGCGTGGTCCTTCCCGGTCGAGCCGACACATTCGTCCTACAACTATACTACTAATATAGCTGCAGCATCGCTCTACCACGTAAAAACTGACAATTAAAAAACAAAAACAAACTAAAAACACTTACTGTAAGATTTTAATATTAGGTGATTTTTTTTTATAATACGTTACTTTCTAGGTAGAACAAATTAGGTAATTTAGTCACGTGTATGCTTGGAGAACCATTATTATATTAAAAAAAATATATTGAAAGAAAAGTAAGAACTAGAATGAAACAAGAACGTTTCGCTACAAAATACACTACTAAAACCCCTCGTAGAGGATTCACTCCAGCTTAATATGCACACAATACCATCGACTTTGTTTCAATTAAAATAAGTGACGGTGTCTAAGAATTACAGTGCCTTTGAATCAATAAATAATCATTGTTCTTCCATATAGGAGACATAGTCTGTATGTAGGTACCTTTTGTACATACATATTTTTTTTATAGAATAAGGGGCAAACGAGCATGCGGCTCACCTGATGGTAAGTGACTACCGCCGCCCATGAACAACCGCAACACCAGGGGAATTGCAGATGCGTTGCCGGCCTTTTAGAAAGGTGTAAGCTCTTTTCTTGAAGGTTCCTAAGTCGTATCGGTTCGGAAAATTCGCTGGTGGTAATTGATTCCACAAAGAAGTTGTGCGAGGGAGAAAACTTCTTCTAAATCGCACAGTGGTGGACCGCCAATCATCCAGATGGTATGGATGGTAACGCGAGTTGTATGTAAGACGTTGACAGAAACGTAGGTCTAAAATTACACGTAAGTAAAATGGATGCCCACGACGCTCTTTTACCAAGCCTTAAATGCCAAGTGTAAAGTTTAATGTTTCTGTCTGAAATATTAGTTTTATGTATTTTATTTTACTTAGCGAGTCTTATCCGATACTATTCCGAAGATATCCCGGACGTCAGTCTGAGCGAGATTAAAATGGCTCTCCAGCACCTTAAAAACGGCAGGGCCCCAGGTGAGGATGGAATTACAGCGGAGCTTTTGAAAGCGGGTGGAAAACCGGTACTTGAAGTTCTTCATAAGCTCTTTAATTCTGTGCTCCATGGTGACACTACTCCGGAGGCGTGGAGCAGAAGTGCGGTGGTCTTGTTCTTCAAGAAAGGCGACAACGCTCTCTTGAAGAACTACAGACCGATTTCCCTTCTGAGCCGCGTCTACGTGCTGTTTTCGAAAGTCATTACGAATCGTCTCGCACGCAGACTTGACAACTTCCAGCCTTCCGAACAAGCCGGTTTTCGAAAAGGGTTTACTACCATAGACCACATACACACCCTTCGGCAAATTGTACAGAAGACCGAAGAGTACAATCTGCACAGAAATCGTAATATTATTACGATTTCTGTGACAATCTGCCACTTTGCCTTGTGTATGTGGACTATGAGAAAGCCTTTGATTCCGTCGAAATTTGGGCGGTGCTGCAGTCCCTTCAGCGGTGCTAAGTAGACTGTCGGTATATCGAAGTGCTGAAGTGTTTGTACAATAGGGCTACGATGGCTATCCGAGTACAGTATCAGAGTACGAAACCTATCCAACTGCAGAGAGGTGTAAGACAGGGTGATGTTATATCCCCGAAACTCTTCACCGCTGCATTGGAAGACGTTTTTTTTTTATATAGGATAGGGTGACAAACGAGCACACAGTCCACCTGATGGTAAGTGGTTACTGTGACCCATAGACATCTACATCTATCCTCAATAAAGACTCAAGATGCAGACGCGTTGTCACCCGTGAGGACTAAGATGGAATGCCTCTTTGTCAGTAAAAAGGGTTTCCGGTTCTCTACACTCACGGTACGTTTTTAAGCTACTGGACTGGAAAGGATGCGGTATTAACATCAATGGAGAGTACATCACTCACCTTCGATTTGCCGACGATATAGTCCTTATGGCAGAATCGCTGGAGGACCTAAGCACTATGCTCAATGACCTCAATAGTGTCTCCCAACGGATAGGTCTTAAGATGAACATGGACAAAACAAAAATCCTGTTTGACGTCCATGTCACACCTATGCCGGTAGTTGTCGGGAGCACTAAGCTCGAAGTTGTTGACGAGTATGTTTACCTGGCACAAATAGTCCGACTAGGTAAGTCCAACTTTGACCGAGAGGTCAGCGACGGATTCAACTCGGCTGGGCAGCGTTCGGGAAACTACGACACATCTTCTCGTTAGACATACCTCAAAACCTGGAAACGAAATTGTACAACCAGTGCGTGTTGCCAGTGATGACTTACGGATCTGAGACGTAGTCCTTCACTGCTGGCCGTATGAGGAATCTCAAGGTCGCTCAGCGAGCTATGGAGAGGGCTATGCTCGACATTTCTCTGCATGATAAACTTAGAAATGAAGATATCCGCAATAGAACCAGAGTAACCGACACAGCCCA